AAAAGACCTAAATTCACCTACCAACCACTTATGTGCTCTCTATCAAATCTAAACGTCAGTGGACATCAGTATATGTATTTGTCCCATTTCACTGCTATGGTTTCAACATATTTATACCTCAGGCAATGTTGCAAATCTTTCCTTCAAAATGTTCCCTAAAAAGGAACTTTTGATCCACTGAGTTATATCAACACACAGCTCACACAGGAATACAGCCCAATATGGGCAGGACTTGGGCAGGTGTGTGGAGTGAGTGATCAGCCCAGCATCAGTGCAGAGATCATTACAATCACTGTTTTATAAATTCCACCTGCAAAGTCAGAGGAGTGTCATTTGTTTTGTGTGTCATCTTAGACTAGCATTCATTAATACGGATGCCCATTTCCCAGCTAAGAAAACTGCAAGGTGTGATGTTGTTTTAAACTAGGTGCTGCAAGTTTATTGTATTGCCGATTTTAGTTGCTACTGCATTACAATTAAAACATCACACCATCTTGTCCAGAATAAGAGCTTCATAGCATTCATTTAGTTGAAATCCAATGTGCTTCTACTCTACCACCGTCACATTCAGCAAATTATTGAGCAAATTTTCATTTAATTAGTTCAATTACTTTATTGTTTATCCTTTGCCTAGCTAGTTGATATTATGAAAGGAAGACTCTTCCTTTCATTTGATTGCTCAATGTTAGTGTCCATCACAGATTTAATAACCCAGTCAGGGAAAAAATGGATGTGGTTATCTTAATGCCTCTATACTGAGCCGGACCAACTTATCTTACTGTGTATATTAGCAAAACATGGCATTAAGACAATCAGGACAATAATCCGGTTTTTGTTTTTTTTTCACCTAAACATAAAGAAATGCCTACTATAAATCGAAAAGTGTTCGTATTGATTTTAAAACCTTAACATTTACTACCCTTCCTGCAAGTCAATAAGATTTTGAACTTTGAATTCTTATTAAATAATTTTTATACAGGTGAACTTAATTTAGAACTTAACAATTAATATATTGAATTTTACATACAATTTTGTACTCTAGATTTCAGTAAGTGCTCTGAGCGAGAAAAAAAAAAAAAAAAAAAAGAAAAATATGAAAGTGTATATTTTTTTCTAGATGAATGTTTCCATTCAAACTTCCTCTGCTATGTCAGGATATTTTTATCACAATCAGCGGTGTATGTAAGCAAAACCGAATGATAAGCCGTAACATAAACACATTGTAATAGAATAGGAGGGATTTATTTTTACTTTCAGGGATAAAGATACATCTAGAAGCTACAAAGTACAACAGGTGATGGTTATAGTTGTCATGGACAGTTGTTGTTTAACATATTTGACCAGATATGTACTTAAATATAATTGTTAGCTAATAATCAGCCTTAAAATCAGTAAAACCTAAGACAGCGTTGTGTTTAAATCCCTTCTAACAACAACAACACCTGATGTATTGATGCAAATGATCTCATTTATGATTGCTAATTAATTAGAGCAGAACACAAGCTACAAAATTCAACAAGCTGTTCATTTCGAGTTGGCCAATTTAATAACAAATCAGTGTGAAGTAATTTTGTAGTGCTGAGTTCCTGAAAATGTGCTACAGTACCAAATGCGAGACATCCCACATAATTTCCTTTTATAAATTTGTGTTCTGCTTAATTTTACATACTTTTCTGCTTGATTGCATTTTTAAATCAACATGCAGAAAAGAGTCTAAGATGGTCCCACATGGAAACCAGTCCAGCTCTTATTAAAGGCATTGAATAAGAATGCAGGATGACTCTTGCGTTTGTAGAAAAATCTGGTTGATTTAAATAATGTCATGGCGGATTTCCTTTTGGGCATTCTTGCATCCACATTTAGATGTTGATACCATTTCACTCGATTGTGGAAACTTGTTTCGTATATGTGAATACAAATAAGAGAGAGAAATATTATGAGATAATATGGCTGCCTTTTTAGGCTTAAGTAGATTTCTGTGTCCACCCATATTACACTGAAATGTAAGAGCTTAGATAACAGCCCCAAAATAATGTGTTTGCTCTTATCTGTCTAGCAGCTCTGAGTAGCAGTGAAAGTTATATCCAGAAAGACTGATTGTTGCTGAACTTTCTGTGAATGCCAACATAAAAAGGATGACCACACCACTAGCAGAGGCATTGCTCTCTAAGAAGAACCAATCTCTAATTTCCAAACAAAAGATGAAACTGCTTTAATGTAGGAGTTGATAACAACACACAAATAGAAACTGTTATTCATGATAAGACTAAGTATTTTGTTGGTGGTATTTATCTTTTTGCCACTGCTGTGGCAATAGTTTTAAAGCAAATGTATGACTTTCTACTTAACTCCTAAACTAACAACTTCAGAAAAAAAAAGACAATTAAATATTTTATAATTTTATACACATCAAAACATATTACCAATAAGTTATTTATCGTCTTTAAGCAAAGAAATACAATATTACTAATATTACCTTTTCCATTTTAGATCTGGATAGAGCATACTGATAGATGAAAAAGTTATTTATCTTAAATGCAAAATGTCGATATATTTATCTACAATCTTGATATAATAACTACTCTAATTTGCTGCGTCAGCTAAAGGCATGTTTTACAGTTTCAATACTCCAATTAACGATTAATCTATTACTTAATTAGTTGACGATTATTTCAATAATCGATTAATCACAATTGTCTGATTAATTGTTTCAGCCCTCCTGTCAACTGATTTAATTTTTCATAAATCTTTAGGACCATAGCTTTCATTCACCGGCAAAGGAAACTGCATTATGTTTTCACTAAAGATAGACAATGTGCAATCTGGATATTTTCATCATCATTCAGAAGCAAGAGCTGTATGCATGTTATAGTCACAATGGTGCAAATACAATAAGTTGTTATCAAAAAATGGAAAATAAAAGGGGCCTACATTTTTTTTCATAAGCATATCTTTTACTTTAACAGCTAAGCTAACAGACAGAATTTAGTACAGGTATAAGAGTTATGGAGACAAATTTCATGCGAGATTAAAGGTTGAGAAAACATTTAAAAGAAATGGCAAAGCAAAATGAAACAAAAATACTGACATTGTTTTTTCCTACGCTATTTTGTTTTCTGCCCAGACACAACTTCTTACCTAAACTGAACAGGAGAACGTGTGATAGGGCCAGTGAATCACATGGGGGTCCACTGGCTGTCTAGCTGGAGCTGAAACTTGGCTGTGCATCAGGTGTGCAGGGCTGTGGTTTTAATGCTGTCTCCTTCAGGCAGTGGAAAAAAAAGCTGTCTTGTCAACACAATTAGGGACAGCAATCTCTTGGGAAATCTATATATTTTTTTTGTAATTATTTTCTGCAGGAGCCCAGGCACACATGTTTAGATGATTAACTTTATACCCATAATATAGTCAGTGGATACACATACAGCACTTATTTTTTATTCAAAGTTTTTTTCAAATATGCAGTATTTTACTCAGCCAGTGTGAACAAGAGACCATTCCCAAAGCTAACTACTGAGGAGCAGGAAAAGATGGGTTAGAAGGACATGCTGACAGGCGGATATATAAACAGCTTTATGATGTCACATGGAGTTTGGCTGTGAGTCCACTTTGCTGTGAGCTGTGCATGAAAATGAATGAGTACACTGTGAATTCTGTGATTTTTTACAGGTTTTACCAAGCTCTTTTGTTTTCTGTGTGCTGTTCCATCCTTGTTTTATCTCATGGTGGGGTTAATTAAGAAAATCATCTGATCAGGTACTTTATTACGTCTATCCAGAAACGTCATCAAGGTGGTGGGGATGCATGTTGGAGACTATTTGGGGTCACTGGTGCCAACCACTTCCATATTTTTTGGGAATGTCACATTATAATTAATTATTGGACACAGATAGGTGGACATTTTAATAATGTATTTGGTACTAAAATTCCCCTTAAATGTGAAACACTGTATTTGGGTGATGTTCCTGTGACAAATTGGAAAAACAATGATAAAAGATTACTTGGTATGTTACTTATTGCAAGTAAAAAGGCCATCACTAGAAAGGGGCTGAGAGTGGAATCTCCAACTACTGAGGATTGGATCAATATAATACACGGAATATGTCATGGAAAAGTTGTCTTTTTCCCTCAGGATGCAAAAGGACATGTTTTACAAAATCTGGACTAAATGGACTGAGTACATAAAACCCTTACGGTCAGATTTTGTATGAATAACACGTTTCTGTACTTAAAACCTTGTCTTGTGAATATTGGCATGCTTCCCATACATGTTTATGTTTGTGTTTATATATGTATTGATACTGTAAAAATGTTTAAAAATAAAAATTTTATATATATAAAAAAAAGAAAATCATAATTATTTCGGTTTTTATAAAAATATTCTTGTAATAACATATGTTTTTTTCTTCAATTTTATTTATTTTATTCTTTAACTATAAAATAAACAGTGTCTGTTATTTAAAGCTATCACAACACTTCAGTCTCCGAAATGCCAAACCTCATCAAGTTTTATGCATGAGGTCTCTCCAGCTGGAAAACACAAATCAATGAATCACACAAAGGAAAATGGTGTTAATTTCCTGGTATTTACAGCAGTAATACTAATAAGGTCAAACACTGGAGCAAGGTTAAATGATGAAATCTTTGAGCCAACAATAAAAAACTCCTTACATTACAAAATCTAATTTTGATGTTAACTGAAGCCTGCAGCACAAGACTGTTTCCTAAGGGGCAGACTTACATCAGAATAGATTTGATAACAAATGACAGGCAACATTTTAAATTTAACCCAGTTGTGGACTTCATGTTCTCTGTGATGCTACAGGCCAATAATCCCATCAATTGAATAAAAAAAAAAATGTACAGGTAGTAGAAGGGTGAAAATAATGAAACACTGAGGAACAAAATGTATGCCATACTGTTCTGTAAACCAATTTCTGGTTAGTAAACATGATAATAAAGTTGTTGTTTTTTTCTTTCTTTCTTTGCTTTTCTCTTAGATACACAGCAGTGGCAATGCCCATGCTGTACAACACACGCTACAGCTCCAGGAGAAGAGTCACAGTAATGATTTCTGTTGTCTGGGTTCTCTCCTTTGCCATATCATGCCCCTTGCTATTTGGCCTCAATAACACAGGTACAAAGGAGTTCAATATAAATATGCTCTACAGTCCTGGAAATGTATTTTGTTTGTTTGTGTGTGATTTTACTAAGCCAAAGGGCTTTATTCCACTTTTTACCTAGATTAGTCAAACACTGAATACAGTTAAATCAACTCTGATAAGATGTCTTTTTGGACCAAGCTAACTTGCTTTTCATAAACCTATTTAGTTTTCATTCAGTCACTCTAAATTTTAGTTTTTTAATACAATTTTTACAAACTAGTACGTAAAGCACTACAAATATGAAATGAAATTTCATATGAAATGCACCTAGTGCATGTCCAAATAACCATGGCAACAATGCTGTCAGACTGTCACTATGATTTAACAAATCTCAAGCTAAATTGAACACATGATTGATATGTAAATATGGAGTGGGAATAGATAATGATGTCCTCTTCCCACTCCTTTGCAAGCTTAATGTGTATCTCCTTTATGTATATAATACAGTGTTATGTTAAAAAAAATAATGAACTGCATTTATTAAGATGCATGTTTGTATTTATTTCTTTTATAGAGCTTAAAATCGAATTTCATGTTTAGAACACATTGATTACTATCTCCCCTTGTAAACACAGTGGCTATAAATTAATCCTGAATTGAGTTGGTGTAAACTACCACTAGTGAAACACCTTTTCAAATCCCAAATATTGCATTTAAAGTGATATTAGTGTAGTTATAGCTCTATTTATAGCTCTATTTGTCAAGTTGCTCCTCGAAATTATTATTTGATGTGTTTATATTAAATTACATTTTTAGGCAATGTTATATGTCTTAACTTACCAGTTTGGCTGTCAGGGAGAGAGTGTGATTTTATATATCCAACCTGTCAATCGCTGCCTTCTAAAGGGAGCTAAGAGGTGGTTAGATCTTGAACTAGCACAGGTCAAGACACAATATTTTGTGCCCCTCTTTGGGATAGACAGTCAAAACGAGCAAATAAGTCATTTGTCATCATGTAGCAGCAGGTCAGCGGGATGTCTGGCCTGCTCTCTTTTAGAATAAAACAGAGTTTAATGGTTCTTGGCACACACAATGATGCACTACACCATGATCTAAACAAAAAAATATTTACGGTTTTCATCTGACTGAAGCCCTTTCAATTTTTATTTAGGTGTGGTACTGTCTTGTATGATGTCTAATGTGATTCAGTTTAATTGTTCATGTTTACATCATAAAAGCTCAACCTATGTAAAAACATCAGGTTTGATGCCACTATAGTTAAAATAAACAAAAAAAGACACATTTCATTCTATTGGGTGAGTTGTAGAACATTTTAGCTTGTCATTGAGGATTTACAAAAGTTGTGTCGATGCCCCAAATCCTCTCTCAAGGTTTGCGTGGATTGCAGCTTATTTTCATGCAACAGTAAGTTTTATGAATTACAAGTTTTGCCGTAAACATTGAGGCGCATGGTTTTTGTTGCGCTAAAATACTTTTTACATTGAGGCCGAAACGTTACCCCTTATTCTTTTTAAAAAACCTAATCTGAGTCAGATTTAGAAAAGAGAAATTAAAAACAATTTTCCAGTCTGGTCCAGTTCGATGTTAGTTTAGCTTTGGACTGAGCCATTCAAACCAGTATCGGATGGCCAAGTTCTCCTAACTGGGACATGCATAACACTAGTAATACTTGGATTACTTTTAGTGGTACCTAATTAAATATTGATATTTTATCATTAACTACTGTTAATTTTCAGTTTGTTGTAAGCACAAGATAAATGACACTATAAAAAAAAGTAATAACTTCTTCTTAAGGTATGAGAACAACTCAATAAGAAAAAATACCGAAATAGTTAAAGCTGTCCGCATTTGCAACCACTTCTGGCTGGGTGTTCTTGTCCTAGCAAACAATCTTTAGACTAAATCTTGAAAGTCAAGCTAGGAGTCCGCCAGTCGAGGTATGACGCCAATCATAAATTGTCACTGTATTACAAGGAAGAAACTTGTCAAATGGAGAGGTAGTACAGCAATAAAAGAACTACAAGAAATGTACGAAGTAGAAGCTAACTGCCAGAATAACATTGTGACACAGGGAAGTTGTCTTAATGCATTGATCTATTCAAATAAAAAACTGCCAGAATAACATTGTGACACAGGGAAGTTGTCTTAATGCATTGATCTATTCAAATAAAAAACACTCAATTTGCAGGGAAGAGTGTTTTAAGAACTGCCAGCATGAGCAGATAACAGTAATAAAGCAAGTAGTGCTACTGGTTACGTTTTTTCATGGATCTGAAACATCTTCCAGTTTATAAGTGGGTAAACCATTTGATTTAAAAACATCAGTACAGGAATTACTGTACTATACTCACGACAGTGTATGCTCATGAAAGTTTACTTCTTTGAATTTTATTTATTAAGGCACTAAATTCTACCTTGCATTAATAGTTGTATATTACCATGAATACTAAATATAGAATGAAATAGAAACTATCAGGATGGCTGTTTTGTTACTGCAGATATAAAATGTCCAACTCTCCCTTCTGTGAACTTATCGTCAGGTATTTTTTAAATTAAATATTTGATTTTTAGATGAAAAGTAACCCATTAAACTTTATCTTTCAGCCAAACCTACAATGCCAATACAGTATATTAAATTTTTTTCATATCAGTATTTTAGTCCTGGTACTTGGTTACCTAAACATTTAATGAGCTAGCAGTTATGGAAAGTTTGAGAACCACTAGCCAGAAACATTCTACAGAGGGGGTTATAGGGGACCATTGAACTTGGTTGGCACTAAAATCAAAACCAAGGACTGACTAAAAAAGCTGTAATGATTTACTTTTGCTTTATGATTTGCTTTATTCTATATTAAGTACTACAAAAACCTACATAATTTCAGAATAGCCATAAAATCTAAGGTCATTAAAATCATTATACATTCTGGCGCTGTACTTTTTCAAACACTAGCAGAATAAAAAAATTAATAAAAAGCATATTTCACACAAAATTAAAAAATAAGACCAAATAAATACCTCTTTATAAGTGTTGGGACCTCTTCAGAAAAAACTGAGTGAAGGTCTGGTTGACTCTGATTTAGGTCTTTTTTGTGGTTACCATGATGCAGATGAGAATTTTCACAGACAGAAGTGACTAAATCTAAGCCAACTGATAAAGGAACGAACGAGGAATAGAAAATAATAAAAAAAAATTGTTC